TAAATTGGGAATTTGGGATTAACAGATACACACTACTATACATAAAATAAACAACAAGGACCTACTCTATAGCACAGGGAACTATATTCAATATCTTGTAATAACCTATAATGGAACAGAATCTGAAAAAGAATATATATATATTGTGTGTGTCTGTGTGTGTGTGTGTGTGTGTGTGTGTATATATATATATATATATATATATATATATATATATAACTGAATCACTGTACTCCTGTACACCTGAATCACTGTAAATCAACTATACTTCAATTTAAAAAAGAATGTATTTATGATTGTGATATTTCATGAAAGAATACAGCTGCATTGACTGCAGAGCAATGAAAATATGCCTATTGAATAAACATTTCACTACAGAGGCTTCCAGGAACCTGATTCAACAGAGAATCCACCAAATGCCCACTTCACTTTTCTCTCAGCATTTGCTTCCCCAGTGCATGAGCATCAAAGTGTTTCATAAAACAAATTATCAGAAAAGCTAAATCTCTTTCAAGTATATTTTCCTAGTTTTTATAAAACAAGCAAAGGCTCTGTTCAGTCTTTCAGGAAAGACTGGCGGTTTCCAGTGACTATGCTTAAAACAGTCATTTCATTATGGAAATGAAACTTCAGGGAGTGTGACTAACAAGCCATGAAAGTACTCGGCTGCACCTCCTGCCTGTGATTTCCACCAAGGTGTGATTACTATGCCTCCATCAAGCACTTTTAAATTAAGAGTGTGTGGTGGGTTGAGAAGAAAAATTATGCCATTCACAAATGCTCACACATTATATGTAACTTTTACACACCAAAACAACTAGTGGAGGAAACAAAAACTAACAGAAAAACAATTATTCCAAGTCGGCCCAGAAACATTATTCCTGTTTCTAAAATACTACCACCCAAAGTGTAAGGTGCAACCATTCTACCCATTAGGACTGGGAACCAGGGAAACCTATTTACATAACCACTGTGTGTACCAGTCTCTAAAAGGCCCAGAATTCACCAGTATAGCCTGTTATACTTTGTCCTGCCCTATCCTCAATTTTTCATAACCTCAAATCTCATGTTCCCCAAAACCCATCCTCCTTAGGCAGAATATTATGCCCACTGGGATGTTTAAAGCCCACTCTTTGTTCCACCTCCACCTCTACCTACTACATGATTCCTCCAAATATTATTATTATCATTGTTATTGTGATTAGGTATAAAGATTTTGTCACACTACACCTGAAGCAGCACCCACCAGTCACTCCTACCCTCCTTACCCTATTCTAGTTTTCAAGCACATAACATTATCGGATTGACTTGTTTATTTTCAGGTTGTTAGTCTCCTCTGGCTGAGTGGGAACTATATTCACTTTATTTACCACTGCAACTCTAGTGCCTGGAATACTGTCAGGCTCCTAATAAGCATGCAGTAACTGTTTACTGAATGAATAAGTCTATGAATAAATAAATAGATGAATGCATGTACTTTTGGCCAAAATCAAAGAGAATTTTGGGGAGACGTGAGGTATCTAGGTTGGATAGCTCACTGGCCAAAACAAAACAAAACACATGGACACACACACATACACATACACACATTCACACACACACAGTACTGTGGAGTTCTTTCTGCCCTCTCATTGGTTTCCTTCTCTCTCCAGATTACAGGACTCCTTGTCCTGTAGCTGAATACTCCTCAGAAGTAATGAGCTAGAAGAATTACACAAGAGCAGTTAAGATACAGGCTTTGTAGAAAAGGGTACCCCTGCTGCCGAGCATCCTTTTCCTTGCTCTTTCTGGGAAAATTATTTATAGAAAATTCTACAGACATTATAGGAAATGACTATAGTTTTAAATGTGTTTGTAAATAATAGTTTAGAATAAAATACCTTTCCTTTTGCTTTTTTTTTTTTTACTATATCAAGTCACCATCACTTATTGTCTTCTTGACCTCAAACCTGCTACCATTTAAAATAAAGCCTGAAGAAATGTTAAAAAAAAAAAAAAGATACAGTCTGTGGAGTTAGAGCACCTAAGTTCAAATCTCACCTCCACAGCAAACTAGATTTGTGACCACGAGCAAGGTACTTAACCTCATTAACAAAATAAGGACGATAATAGTAGCCCGGGACATTAAGAAATAATTCAAGTCAAGCTCTGGGCACAGTGCTTGGCTACGCACTAGAAACACTCAATAAATCTTTGCTATTATTCTCCCCGCTGCCACTGTTAATGGACAGTCCAGCCCTGTGAAGGGCTGCAAGGCAGCATAAATCCTACTCCAGAGTTCCAGAACCTTCGGATGATGCCTGACATTCAGCCCCTGAGGTAACACCAAAAAGGTCAAACCAGCCTTGCACCTGAAGCAGCTTCCCACTTCTTCACTGGCCTCTGCCCTCACACCAATCTCCCCACAGTTCTAGAAAACCCCACCCCACTAACTAGCCCCATAGAATCTCAACCAGGAACACAGTCTTGGTTACTTACTTAACAGATGAAGTCAGCCAATTATTGTAACTACTCAGATTTCAAGAAAAGAACTTCCAACGTCATGGTGACTACTAACATCCACTGCCAATTATGCCATCTCACCAGCTAGTCAGGGGAGTCCTCGGAAGCCTCCAATATTCCAAGCCCCTCTTAGTTCCACCTTCAGCAGCAGATCTCCCTCTGACCTGACTTACATCCCTTCCACCCTCACACCTGTCAAGTAATTTTAGGTTCTAAAAGAATAACTATTCAAAGACTACGATCTTCCCAACTTTATCTTTCTAGTATCTGTCTCGTAGAGTAGTTAAAGAGCATGAACTCTGTGGTCAGAAATGCTAGTTCAAAACCTGGTTCTGGCACTTACCAGCTGCGTGACCTTAGACAAGTCAATAACATGCCTTCGGCTCCGGTGTCCTTAGAGATGATAATAGCAACTCATAAGGATTAAATAAAATGGCATATGTTCACATGGTGGCTAGCAAACAAAATAATTCACAAATGTTATTACTTCTACTACTACTGTTACTACTACTTAAAATAAGCCTCTTGTTAACCTCTTAAATTCTATACCTTAAATCTTTATTTCTGACCAAATTCTAAGCTTTATCGACTACTAACATCTCTTTCTCCTCAAGTCCTCCTGGAAGAATCCTATTCTTATCCAAATTCTAATTCACGAAGGAGGCTTATAATCCTGTTATGATAACTCTGTTGCCCTTCTCAGCTTCCGACCACATTCTTTCCTTTCAAGATGCTTCCAAAAAGCATTTCATGGTGATACTAGAAGTACATATTTTCATGCCCCAAACAAGTTAAAACAATACCTCTTCAGAGTCCGCCTTCAGAGGAATATCATGGAAGGGGGAAATGTAGTGACCAGCTACATTCTCTGCAAAGGAAAATAAACAAAAACACAGAATTAAAGCAATGGACTATCTTGTTCTTTAGAGCAATTATACTCTTACCCACTTTTAAATTTTAAACACGTTTTTAATGGGTTTTTTTCAAAATTAACTTTAACTCCCAATTTAAAGTTTAATTCAACTTTTAAAACTTGCTCCAATCAGATGACGAAAAGAGAAAAACAGTAGTCCCCCCTTATCTTCGGGGGATACATTCCAAGACCCCAATGGATGCCTGAAGCTGTGGATAGTAACCCTACATATGTTTTTTTTTTTCCTATACACACATACCTATGATAAAGTTTAATTTATAAATTAGGCACAGTAAGAGAATATCCGAATTGCCAGCATCCCTACTCTTGCGCTTTGGAGCCATTATTAAGGAAAATAAGGGTTACCTGAACACAAGCTCTGTGGTGCCTGGGCAGTGGGTCTGACAACCGAGATATCTACTAAGGCTGGACAAAGGTATGACTCATGCCCAAGACAGGGACGAGGCAGGACAAAACAGAACAGCACCAGATTTCATCACACTACTCAGAATAGTGCAGCACACAATTTAAAACTTATGAAATATTTACTTCTGGAATTTTCCATTTAATATTTTCAGACCACATATGACCAAGGGTAATTGAAACTGTGAAAAGCAAAACCACAGACAAGTGGGACTGCTGTACACACCAAATCAACCATACTTGAGTTGCTGAAACCATTTACTTATTCCTGTGGCTTAAACATCCAAAGCAAAATATGTCTAAATTAGACTAAAACCCCAAATATGAAAAATCTCACTTTCGAAAAGAGACTGATTAATAAGTGAAATGGACTAAAACTGATGTCAATTTTCCCAAGAGAAACCTAGCAATAGAATTCCTAATTTCTACCTACAATTTACATGAACAAAGGATTAAAGGTCCTACCGAGTTAAAAGAAACGAATCATTTGTTCCACTCAAAGTGATAAGGATGCTAATATTAAGGTAAGCTTAAAACAAAAATTTCAATAACAGAAACTATTTTGTCCTCATTGCATACTGAAATGTATATATAAAATACCTTTAAAAGTATATATTATTTATGGGCTTCCCTGGTGGCGCAGTGGTTGAGAGTCCGCCTGCCGATGCAGGGGAGGCGGGTTCGTGCCCTGGTCTGGGAGGATCCCACGTGCCGCGGAGCGGCTGGGCCCGTGAGCCATGGCCGCTGGGCCTGCGCGTCCGGAGCCTGTGCTTCGCAACGGGAAAGGCCACAACAGTGAGAGGCCCGCATAGACACTAATTCCTATTTTTAATTCAGATTTCAAGTTACCAAACCTACAAAAAAAAAAAAAAAAAAAAAAAAAAAGTATATATTATTTAAACAAAATACAATAACCCAATGCATACTTTTGTTGGAATGCATGTTTCCAAAAGCTGGGCTTAATGCAGCCATAGAAAATTTTCACTTTGCAATTTCTTAAGTCAGGGTATGTTCTACTTCTGGCCTGCTACTTCTTTGGTATAATTTTCAAATTCAAACTTTAAAAATATCTTAATAAATAAAATGAGGACTGGCTGACACTCCAGTAGCAATGAGTATACCTATCACCCAAATCTTGTCTTCTAAATACCATTCTCCAATGAAAACAACTAGGGATTCTTGAAGAATGGGCTGATTCTAAGGCTGGGGCAAAGAATATACAAGATGAGCCTGGAATATCCTGTACTACCAGAAACCAACCAAGTGCTCAAAACAAAAAGCTGGAGGTATGTCAAAGGGAAATGGAGCCAACCTCAAAGAGTTCCCAAAGGCCAAAGCTAGAACAAGTTGAGCGCCAAAATAAATGATGGGTATGGGCAAACCTTGGAGATCCTGTGGGCTTGGTTTCAGACCACTGTAATAAAGTGAATAACACAATGAGGCAAGTCACACAAATTTTTGGTTTCACAGTGCATATAAGTTATGTTTATATTACACTGTAGTCTTTTAAGTGTGCAACAATATATCTTAGAAAACAATATATATACCTTAATTAAAAAATACTTTATTGCTAAAAAAACACCAACCATCATCTGAGCCTTCAGTGAGTCGTACTGGTAAAACCAAAGATCACTGATCATATATCACTATAACAAATATTGCAAGAACTATGAAAATGTGACACAGAGACACCGAATGAGCAAATGCCGCTGGGAATTGGCACCAACAGACTTGTACAACACAGTGTTGCCACAAAACTATTTGTAAATAACAACAATATCTTCGAAGTACAACAAAGTGCAATAAAATAAGGTATGCCTGTATTGAATCATAACCCAAAGTATACAATAAATATACATGAGTCCACAGTAATACAAATAAATGATTGTATAAACAAATAAATGAGGGGTAAGAGACGAATCTTACTTTCAGAAAAATTCTAAACAATATATGTAGATGTCCTCCCCTCCAAGAAGTAAAGCTACCCTGTTCCCCCAGTTGTGGACTAGACTTAGTGGCTCACTTCCAAAGAACAGAGGATGGAAGGGGAAAAACATTTCAGTGCAGAACGCTTGACAAGCAGTACCCTTAACCAAGTGATCAAGGTTAATATCACCAGTCATGTTCATAGCGTGTACCTCCTGATATGCCATGATGAGAAGGGTACTTCACTTCTGTCGTATTCTTCCCCCAAACCCAGAACTCCAGTCTCATCGTGAGAAAGACATCAGACACACCCAAACTGAGGGACATTCTACAAAATACCTAACCAATACTGTTCATAAATTTCAAGGTCATTAGAAAACAAAAAATAAGGAACGACTGAGAAGTTGTCAGATTAGAGGAGACTAAGGAAATATAATGACTAAATGTAATGTGGTACCCTGAATTGGATCATGGGACAGAAAAATGACATTAGTGGAAAAACCAGTGACATCCAAATAAAACGTGGAGTTAATAGTATGTACCAATGTTGGTTTCTTAGCTTTGACAAATGTACAGTGGTAATGAAAGATGTTAATGTTAGGGAAAACGTGGTAAGAGATATACTGAAATTCTGTACTACTGTTGCAACCTTGCCAGATCTAAAACTATTCCAAAATAAAGTTTATTTAAATAAACAAACAAAAAACAAGCCATGGCTTCGGTCCAATAAAATTAGAAGTATATAACTTAATAATGGACTCCACTCCACCAAAATTTTATTTCCTCTTCTCATGCTGTGTGAGTTTTCCTCAGCACTTATCAATAAAGTTCTTGAAGGAGATTTTGTTGTTGTTTGTTGTTGCTTGCTCTGTTATGCTCTCTACTGGATTCCCAGCATCCAGAAAAGTTTCCAGCACTTAGTAGGCATTCAGTAAATATTTGCTGAGCAAATACCTCTATTACTATTTCATTTTTCTGTACAAGCTGTTAATGTAATTTTTCTCTTCCCACCCTAGCAACAAGGTAACTCATGAAGGACCACGGTGCACAAAGTAGGATAAAGATGAGAAAAAGCACACAAGTGGCAAAGGGTATACAACTCACTATGATCTATAAAGATCAGTTAAAAAGGATGCATCTTGAAAAAAAAAAATCTTCTCTTTTGCATACCACATCAAATTTCAAATTCTGTGCCTGATTTTAAAGTCTTCTATGAGCAACACAAGAACAGAAAGAACAAAATTATCAGTTTGTTGCTTGATTATTTACTTTTCTATAAACAACAAGGGTACTTAAGTGGGTCACATTTACATATTTTTTATTAAAATAAAATGTAGTGGTAGGAAATGAAAATGGTACAGCAACTTTGGAAAACAGTTTGGCAGTTTCTTATAAAGTTAAACATATGACCCAGAAATCCTACTATTAAGTACTTAACCAGGAAAAAATGAAAACTTATGTCTGCACAAAAACTTCTAAGTGTATGTTTATAGTGGCTTTACTCAATAACCACAAAAACTGGAAGTAACCCCAATGTCCAATTGGTAAATGGATAAACAAACTCTGTTACACCCACACAATGGCACTTTACAGAATAGTATATTAGTCCACAATAAAAAGGAGTGGACTATTGATACACACAAGAAAATGAAAAAATCTAAAATGTAATGTGCTAAGTGAAAGAAGCTAGACTCAAACAATTCCATTTAGATGACATCTGGAAAAGGCAAAACTATAGGGATAAAGACCAGACCAGTGGTTGCCAGAGGTTGAGGGTAGAGGGTGGAGTTGACTTGAAAGAGGGGCCGCAGGAAATTTTGGGGAGTGATAGACTGTTCTGTATCATGATTGTGATGATGTTTAAATGAATCTATATTTCTACTAAAACTCAGAACTGTTCACCAAAAAAAAGAGTGAATTTTATCCTATGTAATTTTTAAAATAAGTATATATGGAGCCAAAAAAAAAAAACCGGCAATTAAGAAAAATATAGTATATTAACATATAAATAGAAGCACTTATTCCAAATAACAATCAACGATCTGTGATCCTTTTCTCCACTTTAAGTCACAAAGATAAGGTAGAATTTTGAAGAGAAGAAAGATGTAATCCTTTAGCATATTACTTCAGTTGTTACATTTGGAACCTATCATTGTGATGGAAATTAACAATAATCTCAGCTCTAAGAATTCAGGAAGTTGTACAAACCAGGAAAGTTTGTTATTAAAATTAATGAAGTACAGGAAACTTGACAGAATGGCTAGGATGCCTTTGTAATTAAGGGTAAATGATACCTTTGGAACACTGATTTTGTGTTAAGTTTCCCTAAAGCTCTCGTTAACTGGGGACAAGCCCCAACAAACTTATTAAGATATTAAGAGGAGCACATGCTACTCAAGTATGAGGAAAACAGGACTAGACTAGGCTGTGATCACTAAAATCTAAAGATCTGTGAGAAGCGTGCTTAGATATCTTTCTTTAAATTGACATCTAAATATATTCAAACACTAAGGTAATGCCAATATATACGTTAAAATTGTTTTCTAATTGCCATTTTGGAAGGTAAAAATATATATAAATGTAAGTGAATGGTCTGACTCAGATAA